TCTCTCTCTCTCTCTCTCTCTCTCTCTCTCTCTCTCTCTCTCTCTCTTGCTGGTTTGACAATTGTTGTTCGAAAACAGTTCAATGAATTTGAAGAAAAAACAATAGCTATTTGAGACTAATGAGGCTGGCAATTAGCTAGAGATATTCGTCTAATTCTCTCTCATTTCTCAAAATAATGGACCAATTGGTGTTCTCTGGCTGCTTTGAAGGATTACCTGTTGCCAACACAATGGATAAAAGGAAATAATCATAAAAATTAGCATAAATGTATTGCACTTTGTCATCGGTCATTAAAGTTGAATTTATCTACTACTATGCATACAATTTTCTACACACGCACACACGATTTTTGTATTTTATTCATAAATTATTCCAACACACTGTGTACACTAAGAACCGATGTGTCGTTGACTCTCTTGACCAAGCTAAGGTGGTTCAATTCTGAATATTCCAAAAAAAAATGTCATTCAGAAAATTGAATTTTCTTTGTTCCATTCCAAAGGGATTACCATTTACAAATGTATCAATTCTGGCGAATGCCCTGCTTTTTGTTTAATTATTATGACTGTGCTGTGGCGTGTGTATGTGTTTATCTCTCTTCTTCTTTCTAATTAGACGACTGATGTGAGTCATTCGGTAGAATTCGAATAGTTTGCGTTTTGTGTGGTGCCATAAAATATCAGCATTTACGGCTTTTTCAGGGGAACATTTCATTTTATTTATTGTTTGTTTATTTTCTCGTCATTTGTAATGAAGGATGTTTAATTATGAAAGCATGAATAGCACAGACGGTGACTGTGCTGAGTACGCGGTGCCGTCGTCCCATTCAACGAAACATATAAACATTTGTGTGCGCATTTTTTTTATTATCTTCCAGCCATTCAATAATAATTCAGAAAATATATCATGTAATTCACAGAGTAGTTATAATTGAGCGACAATTCCACGAAAAAAAAAATAAGTTGAGTGCCGTGATTGAATGATAGAAACAATCGAACAGAAACAAAAAAAAATCTTGTTGAAACATTTTGAATGTAATCCATCATTCAACCTGTTGCATTATTTAATTAATTCACCCAACTTTTGACTATTCATTAATGATTATTCGGAAACGATCTAATGCACACAAAAAACGAGAATAAAAGAATGCACACAAACCAAAGCACATTGAGTGCTTTCGCATAGAAGAAAATACAATATCGACACGAAAGCCGATTCTAGTTGCATTCAGAAATTTCCCACATTTAATTTCGTTTTGGAAAAACGTCATTTTACACGAAATTCAATTTCAATTGCGCTTTCCGCATCGCGAACGCAAATTGCACAAATGAAACGGCTGTAAGGAGAAACGTACGTATTATGAATTGAATTGTATGGAGTGGAAAATGGAAAATCAAACTATTGCCAAGCGGAACAGGCCAGCGATTGAGTGAGACGGAAACAAATAGATAGAGAGATACGGCGCATAAATGCTGTCGACAAAATACAATACTAAAAAAAAAACATTTTTTTTTGCTTTGAACTAAACATGCAGTTTCAGTGGAATATTTATAATCTCGCTTCATATTCGTTATGAGTCAGTCGGGAGGAAATAAGTTGGAAGCGCATTTTACAAACGAAATTGATGTGATATGGAATCAGAATGAGTTTCCAGCCTCAAGGGATGTGTATATAACTTTCTCTATGTGTGTCCCTCTTTCTCTCGGCCTCGTTTAATTGTTACTTGGAAATTGAATCCGACGATATGTATGCTGGCCATGTGCTTTGATTCTTTCATTTTTTACGAAACCTTTACTGATTAATTGCTGATATGAATGTCTGCGAAGAATGAACTTTTCTGATTCATTCTGCGGAAATACAGAATTTTCGGCTATCAAACGTTGATCAAACTGCCAAATTTGCGTACTACGTAGAAAAAATCGGTTCAAAAATAAAATCACATATGTTGCGTCTCACTGATAAGGCATGGGCCACTTGGACTGCGCAGAACAAGTTGTTTACTTTGACGATGAATTCCTTCAACTCGGCTGAATCGGTGGTGGCAGCAGCCCGTATTATGTTTAGCAAATTGCCGGATATTATTATAATTTCTTTTTTTATCACCTACATATATGGGCAGAAACTTCTTTAAATAAAGAACGCGCAAAAAAGAATGGTAAAGCGAAATGCTTGCATATGCACATTTTTCGCCGATTTCATTTAGAATGTTTGACGTGTCACGATTTTTTCTTCTTCTACAGAATTCGATCGAAATGAAGTCAGCTATCGGCAAATGACCTACCCGAATACTGAGAAGCCATATTCATTATAGTTTGTAGTGGCATGATGTTTCGAGAGAAAAATAGAGACCGTCACATGTGGGGGCTGTTCTGTGTTCTACGCAAAAAATAAGCGCTGTGGTTTTATTCGATGAGTAATGACCGAAATGAACTATAATGTCGTTCCAACCGTTTACTATTCCATCGAAATAAGTTTTTTTCTTTTGGTTTCTGTTTAAAATACCACAAATGCGAAAAATGGTGAAATTCCACCGTAAACGGTATCTGCTTCACTTTCTCGTGAACAACCGACAATTCACCATATATTTTTTTCCCTTCATATTTGGAACGAAAACAATTAAACGAAAATGATGAATCATTTTTTATATTCGTTGCTGCAGCGGCAGCAAATCAACCGGTATTTTACTTCTCATCCTGTTCGTGTGTGTACGATAAAAGAAAGCACAAATTCATAAATGGCAAACTTGTTTTTCGCTTCTCTTTTGACATCCTATTCTTGGTGGTGATGGTGCTGGTGTTGCTCTTCTGGCTATGCCAATTCGCCGAAATAATCAAGAAAAATGAATGGGTGATCGCATGGCTTTAAGTCATGGTGTGATCGAACCCAACGGCCAGTTACCACAAAACCTGATGACTGAAACTGTAAAAAAAAAAACGTATAACAACAACAACACACAGAATGTGCAACGTGCATGTCTCACATTCTTCGCAAATGATTTGTTTGAGGGGTATGAACTGTGTGTGTGTGTCTTCCGTAGAAGAACACCAATGCGGAAAGATATTTATAGCCGATTAAAAAAAAATCGAATTAAATAAAATTCAATGGAAACTAAAACATATGTCGAATGGATTCGTATGGAATCATTTTTTCGAACCGATGGTGAAAAATCAATATGAATTGAATTAATGTTTCAATCTATTTCTGGCCCGTATCAAACGGTCTCAATTCAACGGCATGTGTTCCGTTGATGAGACGTATTGAAATTAATTTAATTTGAAATCCATTAAATTCCCGAAATCGGAGCGAGAAAGAGAGAGGGAGGGAAAACAAATTTCAATTATTTGAAAAACCCCATGAAAATTCCAACACGTGCACGTCGCCGATTTGAAATGGAAATCACACGAAGAAAATAAAATGAAGCTAAGCCGATCGCATGCGCCGTGCAGATGTACTGAAGAAAAAAAATATATTGTTTGTATCACTTAAACTGCGTGAACACTGAACACCCATGAATCGAAAGAGAAACCCAGAAAATACACAACCATTTTTACGTACGCATTCAACGGTTTAATTTATTTAGCAATTTATATGTATTTTCCTTTTTCTTATTTCATTTTTTTGTATCTATTTATATTGAATAGATGGTTACACATTAAATAAGTGGTGTATTGTGTCGACTGAATTGGTAAAGTGGAAAAAAATAACACACAATCATACGCGAATGTAAACGCTGGAATGTATTCAACGAATAGAGACGTTCATCGCCGTCGGAAGAGAAGAATGGTGGTGGCTGCAAACTAATACAAATATTTTGATAACTTTGTTTTCGTGGAAAACACTTTTTTTGCGCCGTGAGGACTACTGAATTTTTGCATTTGTTTATTGGCAAAAAGTAATTTGTGTTTACGCGCGCGCACGCGATTTTGTTTCATAAGTCGAATTGTGTTGGCTATTTTCCTTCTCTCTCTCTCTCTCTCTCTTTCTGTTCAATATTAGCTTCATTTGTATTGTATTGTGTATAAATTTGTATACGCTGAATTGGTGAAGAAACTGCCAAGCGTCTTTATGACACCAATCACTTCGGCCGTGTGATCAGTATGGAGAGATAGTGCAAGACGTACAGATATGCGTGGTTTTTTTTTTTCTTCATTTTTTTCGTCTTCTTCTTTTGCAAAACTATGATAAATTGAATGACGATGAGCCTACCGATCAAGTTGCATTACAAGGAGTTGCACACGACAACGTCATTATGCACATTTAAGCTCTGCATTGGTTTTTTTTTTCATTAGACACAATCACAAGTGATCACGCATACATGTGCAATAATTTTAAGTATTTATCTTTATATATATACGGACCTGTGTAATGTACACATCTCATACACCAGTAGAAAAAAAGACGAAGAAATAAAAAAACGAGTCGAAAAATATTGGAAAAAAGAAGTGACACGCACGCTCACAGTGTAATCAGCACCAAAATCTGGTGTTTCCATACAAGAGATCGTTGTGCACACATAGGAAATAATACGCAGCGTAAAAGATAAAAAAAAAATCCAATGAACGAACGAGCGAACAAACGGAGAGGTGGAGAAACGAAATACGAATAAATAATAATACATCGACCATTTTAAGAGATGATTGGTGAATTAGTCGTATGCTCTCCTCGGCTTCTGCCGCTACCATGCATGTGTACAGCGTATATACATACACATGTATGTATAGGTATTTACAGAAAAAAAAAATAAAGCATTTGAGTGCTTTGTTATGATGTGACTTCCAAGAAATGTTCGATTCGAAAATTTCGTGGGATTATATGTCTACACATAGATACGATACAAACGAATGGAAGAAAACCAGCAACAGCAGCAGCAGCAGCAGCAGCAACAACAACAACAACAAACGAAAAAATCTTCCATGCGTTTCTTTATATTTTTTTCGGTTCGTTCGTTTGTTCGTTCGTTGTATTCGTTTGTATTCCGTGTAT